GAAGCCATTTTTCGAGGTCAACATCTCTAATGAAGAAGAAAAACACAAATTTAACAAGTTCATGACTATATTTGCATGACTAATTCAAGTCTCACTTTCCCATCACGATGGCTGAGAATTTTTTAGAAAATGAAAAATCAACTTAGTGAAGAAGAAAAACACAAATTTAACAAGTTCATGACTATATTTGCATGACTAATTCAAGTCTCACTTTCCCATCACGATGGCTGAGAATTTTTTAGAAAATGAAAAATCAACTTAGACGTAACCTGGGCATATAAATTCATATCAAATAGGTGTGGTCGTGGTAGTATATTTTACTTCAAAAATGGTGAATGTACAGTTAGCCCTCTCACAGGGGTGGGGCCCACGATTATTTTAATCGTGGACTCCAATTGCATGTGAGAGGGCTCTCAAAATTGATGTAACTCTAACATTGTTCATTTGAGTTAAGCCCCTGTTTGGAACACATTTTAAGGAAAATGCTAAACGACCCATGCTGGTGACCCCGGGGATGACCGTGCCCTCACTGTCGAGGCACGGTCCCAAATGAATAAAATAATCCCGACCCCCCATGTGTGTGTGTGGTCATCCCCGCTATCACCCCTGCGAGCACTGTAGTACGATTGACATTTTAATGCAAATGTAGAAAAAAATCAATAAAACCATTTGTACAAAGTTGAGTAACAAAGTGTATTGGTAAAATTCAGACCGTTGATTTCAAATGATTTAAAAATCTATTTTTAAAATGATTAGTGTAGATGTTATTTTGTCAACCAATTTTGTAACCTAACTTTATACACGTAGCATAACTCGAAAAAAAATAAACCGTTCGAGCAGTAAAGGATTGACAACAGACTTCAGAACTACTGTGCAAAATTTGACATTTTGAAATTATAATTCCACATTTACCCTTTTAAAATTCAACAGCTTTCAGAATAAAAAAGAAGAGAGAGGACAAAAATGTAAAAGTGCAATCAATTCATTTGACCAAAAAACATAGGAACTGTAGCGGGTCCAAGTTGATGTGAAATAAGAGTGCATTTTTTGCCTAAAACTTAGAGGTGTCAATTTGGGTGGTTCGGGTCGGATCGGCTCGTCAACATATAAGTCCGGTAACGGCCCGAGTGAAAAAAAGCCCGCCCGATACGAGTTCAAGGTCGGTTCCGGGTCGTCCCACAAATTTTGGACTACAATCCAGGCTCACCCACTGACCCATCCGGGTCAAACCCATG